TGCCTGGAAGTGGGGAAGAAGGAGTGAGTGAATGGTTGCATGGTGCTGAGTTACCAGTCGGATCTAAACCACAACACAGGCAGGAGGAAGAACTTCACCCCCCACTCGTTCTAGCGGGCAGATCATTGGGCTTGAAGGGGCTTTCCAGTGCATGCCAAAAGTACCAGGGTAGAAGATGACATTTTCCCCTCAATATCCAGGAATTTTTTTTTTTTTTCAAGAAAAGAAGGAAACAAAGCCTCTGCTGGCACCTTAAGCACAGAAGTAATGCAGAGCTTGCACTGCTTTTGCTCAAATCCTCAGTGACCTGCTTGCTGCCAAAACTTGGAGAGGGCACTGCCATCCCAACTTCTTTGATCTGTCAAAGCTAACAAAAACAGTCTCCTCTTGGGCTATGCTGATTGTCCTCTTCTGAGCTCTGACTGCTCTCAGCTCTGATCATGCCCTTCCTGTAACTTTCAGAGGTCCTTTCTCTCTACTATATCCATAGAACCCTCACCCACTGGACAGCTTGAAGCACAAGAGGGAATAAAATAACAGGCAGCTACATATGAAAAGGAAGTGGAGGAAACTTGACCTCTGTGATCCCTCCAGCTTGAATAGCGTGACTGTTTTGGTAAGCTTCACGGGAAAGGAATTTTAAGGAGCTCTAAGGAACACTCAGTTTTGCAAGTGGCTCCCTCCAAATGTCAAGAGAACTTCAGGAGAAAGCGCAAACTCACTTGAAATTCAGCAAGCAGGCAATAAGAAGGTGTGTGAGCCAACTCGAGGTAGTAGAAGGTCCTTGAAACCAGTGAAAGTGCTGCAGCTCAAGGATGGACTGTAAAGGACCATGAAAGCAAAGATAAGGAGCATTTCCTTACATGAACCAGGAGAACATGCTAGCACACAATGCAGAGAAGGTAAGACTGTTGACCCTCCAGAATATAACAGTCATTGTGTTCCCTGGTGGCATCACTGATGGATAAAAGAAGTGTCACAACAGACTGAGAGGCCAGAACTCAGCTGTATGAACAGACAGGAATGATTGCATGTCTTAGTGACATTACAGAAGAGGAACTACCAACACGTCCCGAACTGAGAGTCTCTTTAAGTCCTCCTTTTGCTGTTGAAGAGCTGAGTCTAACCCACTTTCAACCAAGTCACTGCATTCAAGACTAAGTTCAGGTTCAGAGAGAACAGTAACCCATCACTTTCTAACTGAAAATACATTCAAGGACAATCAAATAAACTAAACCAGACATGAAAGTGCTGCTCCTTGACTATGAGGCTCAACAGAACAAGCAAAACCAGTGTTAAAATAGTCTTCAGGTAAAAATTCCCTGCCTTACATCCATCTCATTTTCAAACACACATAAAACAATTGCCTTTTATTGCTGAAAGGAGTGCGTAAGAGCAGGACATCTCCACTGCAAAACCTATCAAAGACGGATGATGAAAGCTCTAGGAAAAGTTAACATTTGTCTGAATTTCAAGAGTATAGTCATTAATCCTCCTTTTTAAATATGAGTGTAGTAGCAAACCATCAAGCCATTTCAAGTGAAGTCTGTCCAAGGGAGCAATACTATGTTGGTTGCATCACACCGCATTCCCATGTCCTCCTACAGCTTGTAATGTCACTCCAACACCAAGCCCAGAGCCACCACATCCCAGAACCTGGTTTCTTTGTTCCTTTCCTCAACTGGTGAGAAACCTTCAATACCCACCACATTTTCCTGCTCTTTAGAAGTGGCGCTAAATCTGTAGTGATCTTGGGATGATGGATGTAAATAATATTTATCTTCTATTAAAAGCATTTCCTGCCAAGACATATCAATAATTTACAGAATTATAATCAGCCTGCAAGTAAATACAATGAAGATCAGTAAAATAAGCACTTGGATATAGCACTGGATATAATGACAGTGACAACAATAAATTTGCTATGCATGGATTAGTCTTTTAAATCTGTTACAGCTATTTATTATTAAAGAAATAGGAAGCTTCAGTGACAGAGATGTGAAACAAAGTCACCCACTGAAGACACTAAGAACCAAGATTAAGTTACCATAGACGGCACTAGCAAGGTCAGAATTAAAATGTGAAATGATTGTTTATGTAGAAACAGGCATGTGTGCATTAAAATACCAATTCATTGCTCTTCCTTATTATCTGTATAATGTTTAAAGAGGGATTCAGGACAGTCTGTGGACCACTGTACAGATGAGGACCTGCACTGTACAATTCACCTGCAGCCACACACAAACACCACAGCTGAATCTATTAGCTGCAGACATCCTTGAGAGTGAACTTTGAGACCAGACTGATAATGTTCATAGGGCTGCACTGAATTATTAATACCTGCCTGCTATCACATTACATGTCAGAAGTCAGAGGCACCTTTTGGATATTCTACCATGCTGCAGAAGAAACAATGCTTGAAATCAGAGGAGGTCATCCCCCATGCTCCTGTAACATTTAGCAGAGCAACTCAGCTGCACCTGAAACAGCTCTTTGTCCTCTCATGTGAAAGCCACTATGACAAGGTTTCTTCCCCCTTGAAAGGTAGTTGTTTAAGAGTGGTCAAATGCTTTCAAGCAGCAGTTATGTTACTTCCAGATGTGGGGAAAATCCTTGGAAGTAGAAAGAAAATTCATATCAAAGTACTGTTGAGTGTTGTCAGATGAATAGCGGCTTTACTCTTCTCTAGGTTGAACTCACCACATTGCTCAATCTATTTCACAAGGGCACAGCAAAGTTTAATTAGCTCTTTTTGAGATACTTTCAGAATTTCTGTATGGAAAGTGTTAGGAGTGCCCACAGCATACAAAGAATCATGTTGGCATGATGAAGTGGCAAGTAGGAATACTAATTCCAAGGACATGTGATTATGCGAATACTTGAAGACAAGGTTACAAGGTTCATTTCCACGCTGGAATGAGCACTCAGAACAAAATGCCACAATGAACATGTGAAAAACCGCCAACCTTTTCCAGAAGAACGCTCAGTTTGATACAGCTGCATTTAAACTCTGCAAGGTTATGTCACAGAATATAAAATGGGATAAGGAAGAGTAACAAAACTCCCCCCAAAACACAACCCCCAAAACAAAAGAAGTCTCCTTTCTGCAAGTAAAGGCAAAATGAAAGGTGAAAAAAACATACAAAACCTATTTAATGACTATGAGCTTCACACAACTCCTAACCAAGTGAGCAGAATCAAACAAGAAGTCGCATCCGTGACAACTCGCTGGCAGAACACAAATCCTGTAGCTGAATGAACAAGAAAACCTTCATCCCAAACATTTTGACTGCAATAACAAAGATGCATTTCAGAAACCTGTTCTTCAGGGTTTTAACGTCTTATCTGAAATAGCACTTTTGTTTTTTTGACAAATACTTGAAATTCAAATTGTACAACTTTGCTTTGAGAAAGTTCCGTTTATCAGTGCAGTCTGAAAGTATGATCAACTTGTGTGTTGACTGCTGCAAGCATTCCAAGAAAATTCACTTAATTTGATGAAAAAAACCCAACTTACTCTTTCGCAATCCGATCTAAGCACAGCTACAGCACTCATGCTATTTGCCAATTCAATGGTGATAAACCTGCAAAACTACTGTTCTACTGAGCAATGAATTAAATTTTTCATGCATTGCTGGACAGCATACTTGAACTTTATTCACTAGACTGCTTCCTGTAAGAGGTCCACACCATGCCAAGCCTCTAATGCAGTCTTAAAAAAAGAAAATAAATAAAAAAAAATCAATTTTGAAGCTGCCAACAGTATTCCCCACTTGCCATGATAGTTCTTGCTCCATTCCACATCAGCCAGAGAAACCCTATACACAGTGAAGAACCAAGGAGTCCTGAACTTTGCATTACTGAGTGACAGGAGAAGCACAGCTTTTGCATACCTACTGGCAGTGTTAACGCTTGTAGTGATTTCACCACCATTGCTGCTATCAGGAAAAGAAATGTTCTTAGGTAGATTAGGTTTAAGAATTACGTTGTGAGTCTGAAACACTTAAACATACCTAATTTTAATGAACGATAGCATCAAATCCCCATATAAACTTTGAAAGTCTCTCTCCCCCAACCCCAGTCTAATAATTCACAGAGCACCAAGTCTGCAAAAAGATTACCATACATAATGTAGTCAACACAGAAAAAACTGTGATTCCTATAGAAACTAATCCTAAAACATTCCCACAGGGGTTTTGCAGTAAGTGTGATACACAAAGGATGCTACTGAGGTGAAGCACTGTACATGCAAGGTCAGGTTGGATGGGACTCTGAGTAACCTGGTCTAGTTGAAGATGTCTGTGCTCATTGCAGGGGACTTTAACTAGATGTGTTTTAAAGGTCCCTTCCAACCCAAACCATTCTATGTTTTACAGGCTACTTTACGATTTATTCAAGGCTTTTCCCCTCTGATTAACGGTGTCACTCTACACCTACACAAAAGCACACATGCGCCTACACAGATGTGGCAAGGTAAGATGGGAGCATCCAGTATACAAACAGTCTCCTAACAAACAGGTAACTGAGGGTCATCCTGTTTTTTCCTGCAAGGCAAATACACAGGTGCATTAAAACTGGTTCAGGTATGTTTGCACATGCTGCCATCACATCTGAGTTCAGAACTGACAAAAATTAAGTGACAAATGCCTACGGATTTTGCAAGAGGTAAGAATAATCTCAACTCTATGGCCTCCCATTGCTCTGAATGTGGAGTTGCAAGAAAATCCTGTAAAAAACCCTTCACATTTCCAAGCTCCCATTTTAGATAGTTATTTCTGCTCTAAATAAATTACACTGATTGTACTTTTTGCTGTTTCTCTACTCCTCTCACTCTTAAAATTCTGTATTTTGATTACTATGTATGACCACTACACACTTGCAAAGTGTTTGTATTCTTCATGCAGGGTCTCTCAGAAGGAAACATTTCTTACACTCCTAAGTCCAATTTGTTTCAGCCTCTATGCCCTGCTCTAGTAAAAACAACATAAAACCACACTTACTTCATCTCTGTAAAGAGGACTGGTGTAATACATGATATCCATTGCACTGCTGTTCAGCATATCCCTTAAACCTCGTACTTTATCTGGAGTAATGGAATCCACAGTGTCTGAGGGAAAACAAAAATAGAGACTTGAGTTACATACGACAAAATCCAAACAAGGCATGGGCATAGAACACAGCATGAACTTCTGGGGACAATTTTGCAGACTGCAGCAGAAGAACCAAGCAATGTACCTTCATCGAGGGTAAGTTTCGATCTCCATTCAACTGGAAGAAATTCAGCAAGCGTTGAGATATCAGAAAAATACTTTTCTTCTATTTTTCTTGCAGCATCTCGCATCCTACAAAAAAAGAAAAAAAGAACATGTTCCTGTAAACGCTACTGTTGGTGCTCTTTATCAAATACAGCAAATGCATTTAGCAACAACACATTTCCTGCATTACTACTTTTCAATGCTTACTAACACAGCTAATTACCTCAACCTCGTGCTTTTGTTACGAAGCACTTAAACTCTCATAATGAAAAATTCTGTGCATTACATGCTGAAAAGAGTCTAAAAAACTTTAAATATATTACACCATCGGCTTAACATAAACCATGTAGATTAACCTGAAAGATATCTGTTCACTCTAGTGGTTTGGGGTAAAATGTGACTGAAAATTAAGAATTTGACCACCAACTTGAAAATCTTGAATCACTGAAATCAGCCATTAGATACTTTTCAACATACAGAAAAATATTAAAAATATTGCTTGAAAAGTCAGAATTTTATTTTAATTTTACATACCAAATTGGAAAGCTTGAGAGCTCTCAGAGTGAGAAATAGTATCATTTGTAAGTGTTTCAATGTGCAGCAGCAGATGAAAAGGCTAACTGCCCTTTTAAAAGACAATTTTAACTTTTAAAGTGTATCTGAACATGAGCACTGATGCACCTCCCTCAAGGGATATGAGAAACTTAAAATACCTAATCCCCAAAGCATATCTGGCCCTCTCTGTTTGGAGGAAAAGGGGAATAATGGCATATTAAAAAAAACAAACTACTTTACTTGTTGTGTGCACGGCCCACCAATAAAGAATTCAATCCAGCATGAAATTAGAATCATAGAATCGTTAGGGTTGGAAAGGACCTTAAAAGATCATCTAGTTCCAACCCCCCTGCCATGGGCAGGGACACCTCACACTAAACCATATCACAAAAGGCCTCGTCCAACCTGGTCTTGAACACTGCCAGGGATGGAGCATTCACCTCCCTGGGCAACCCATTCCAGTGCCTCACCACCCTAACAGGAAAGAACTTCCTTCTTATATCCAATCTAAACTTCCCCTGTTTAAGTTTTAACCCGTTACCCCTTGTCCTATCACTACAGTCCCTAATGAAGAGTCCCTCCCCAGCATCCTTGTAAGCCCTCCCCCTTCAGATACTGGAAGGCTGCTATGAGGTCTCCACGCAGCCTTCTCTTCTCCAGGCTGAACAGCCCCAACTTCCTCAGCCTGTCTTCATACAGGAGGTGCTCCAGTCCCCTGATTATCCTCATGGCCCTCTTCTGGACTTGTTCCAACAACTCCATGTCCTTTTTATGTTGAGGACACCAGAACTGCACACAATACTCCAAGTGAGGTCTCACGAGAGTAGAGTAGAGGGGCAGGATCAGCTCCTTCGACCTGCTGGTCACACTCCTTTTGATGCAGCCCAGGATACGGTTGGCTTTCTGGGCTGCGAGCGCACACTGAAGCCGGCTCATGTTCATTTTCTCATCGACCAACACCCCCAAGTCCTTCTCCACAGGGCTGATCTGAATCTCTTCTCTGCCCAACCTGTAGCTGTGCCTGGGATTGCTCCCGCCCAGGTGTAGGACCTTGCACTTGGCATGGTTAAACTTCATAAGGTTGGCATCAGCCCACCTCACAAGCGTGTCAAGGTCCCTCTGGATGGCATTCCTTCCCTCCAGCGTATCAACCGAACCACACAGCTTGGTGTCATCGGCAAAGTTGCTGAGGGCACACTCAATCCCACTGTCTGTGTCAGCGACAAAGATGTTGAACAAGACCGGTCCCAACACTGATCCCTGAGGGACACCACTCGTTACTGGTCTCCAGCCGGACATTGAGCCATTGACCACAACTCTTTGTGTGCGGCCATCTAGCCAGTTCTTCATCCACCGAGTGGTCCATCCATCAACTTGATGTCTCTCCAATTTAGAGACAAGGATATCGTGGGGGACAGTGTTGAACGCTTTGCACAAGTCCAGGTAGATGACATCAGCTGCTCTACCCCTGTCCATCAGTTCTGTAGCCCCATCATTATACAAGATAGTAAAAAATTATACAAGATAGTAAAATATCTGTGCATTCTATCAAAATCATTAAGCAACCAAACTGTGAAAGTGTTGTATTTTCCTTTTTTTCCTTTACATGAATCTTGACTCCCAATGGTATTAGCATTTTTGAAGATGAGCACAACAAACTAAATCTGACCAAGGGGCCACAGTGCTGGGTTTTGAGGAGCTGCCTCCCAGTTCCAGGCAGCAGAGGGATTTTTATTTGAAGCAAAGCCCAGGGTTTCAATATTTCTTTTCCCATTTTCAAAGCAAACCCCTTTTAATGATTGCTACAACCAAAGGCATGATCACATTACTCTCCCATCTGTACTTCCACCAGTCCAAATACAGTTTAGTAAGTTTAACCCCGTAGCTGAGATACCTTCCTTGAATATATTAATACTCCTCTGCTCTCCTTCAGTAGAAATGAGACAGTTTAACCTGAATCACTAGCAGTACCTGAGGCAGTAATCACTTAAGCGCTCCATTTCGTAAGCACTTTCTGCATCAACAAGCACCCCTATATAAACAACTCTGCCAAGCCCCTGTCCCGAGTTTCAGGCCCCTTTAAAACTAAGTCAAGAGTACAGAGCAGATAGCTGCAAGATGAAGTCAGGACCTGCCCAAAGCTCCCCCATGAGGTTCCACTGGAGGTGAAAATACAGATAAAAAGTTAGAAGTATTGACCAAACTTGTTCTTAATCTCCCAGGGTAGCTGTTGCTCTGTTTGGACACAGGTTGCTAGCAGGATTTAGACTGTGTAGAAGAGCTGAAGGCAGATATGTCTGTTGGAACAAGCATAGAGATGAATTTCAGCCATCACAAGCAGCTCCTGAGTTCTGCATAAAGATGGTGACTTTGGGCAAAATGCCTTCAACGTTTTTACTTCAGCCTTATCAGCTGCACAGCAAGAGGAACACACTTCACTGAGGAAAGACTATGAAAGCCAATGTCTTGCAAAAACATTTTCTACAAAGATAATGAATACTCCTACTTTGTCATGTTGTTTTTTTTTTTTCCCAGGAAAGGCCCACTATGATACTAAAAAAGCAGCTCAACAGTGTACCAAATTTTTGAAGCTGGTAAAACACACTTTTCCATAACTGAAACCTACTTTCTAAGAAGGGGGGGGGGGGAAGAGGGGGAAGAAAGAGGGGGAAGAGGGAACATCCTTTCTTCCAAAGCCATTATAGATGGCCTGACCAAACAGCCAAGAAATGCAAATGATCAGCATCTCTATTTTTAAAGCCTGGTTTGATTGCACTCCTAATCTCCTAGTCTCTAATTTAAAGAGATGGCAGAATGTCTTTCCCATGATGGTGGGGAGGTAGGGGGAGTATTTCAGCAAGAGGATCTGCTTAAATCAGAGTTGATTTAAGGCCAGAACTGACCTAGCCTTGCAAAGCACAAAGCAACCCTCTGCACTATCACCCCACACAACATGCCTCTCAGGACGCTTGTGTGAGAGCCGAACTTCAGCCACAAGGAATTTCTAGATTATCAAGAAGATAAAATTTCAGCGAATACATTAACATTCCTAGAGTCTCTGAGTAACCAAAACAAAAGGGAAACACACCCGTCTGAACAAAATCCTAGTTACTAGCACCAGGAAAGGTAGGGACCTAAAATCTAAATGAATATTCTTTGGAACAATTCTTTGGTATTGCCAAGACACCTTAACTTTCTCTGCATGAAGGAGTATGGTGGCTAGCTAGATGAATTCAGAAACAGTTAAGTTTAGAAGGAAACCAGGCAAACAGCAATCCAAAATCCAAATCTAAAGCTTCTAGGCTTAAAAGCACTTAAAGTTTAGAAAGGTTTTATGAATAAAGCATAGACTTCCACACAGCAACAATTACTTTAAGTGAAGGAACTAGTAAATAAACCAATTCTAACAGAGTGTGAAAGAACATCCAAACTATTTACGCTAAGCCACTGGCTATCATATTTGAGAAATCATGGCAGTCAGGTGAAGTTCCCAATGGCTGGAAAAAGGGAAATATAACCCCCATTTTCAAGAAGGGGAAAATGGATGACCCGGGGAATTACAGAGCAGTCAGTCTCACCTCTGTGCCTGGCAAAATCTTGGAGCAGATTCCCCTGGAAGGCATGCTAAGGCACATGAAAATCAACAAGGTGCTTGGTGACAGCCAGCATGGCTTCACTAAGGGGAAATCCTGCCTGACCAATTTGATGGCCTTCTATGATGGGGCTACAGAACTGATGGACAGGGGTAGAGCAGTTGTTGTCATCTACCTGGACTTGTGTAAAGCGTTCGACACTGTCCCACACGACATCCTTGTCTCTGAATTGGAGAGACATCAATTTGATGGATGGACCACTCGGTGGATAAAGAACTGGCTGGATGGCCGCACACAAAGAGTTGTGGTCAATGGCTCAGTGTCCGGCTGGAGACCAGTAACGAGTTGTGTCCCTCAGGGATCGGTGTTGGGACCGGTCTTGTTCAACATCTTCATCGGTGACACGGACAGTGGGATTGAGTGCGCCCTCAGCAAGTCTGCCAATGACACCAAGCTGTGTGGTTCGGTTGATACGCTGGAGGGAAGGAATGCCATCCAGAGGGACCTTGACACGTTTGTGAGGTGGGCTGATGCCAACCTCATGAAGTTTAACCATGCCAAGTGCAAGGTCCTAGACCTGGGTGGGAGCAATCCCAGGCACAGCTACAGGTTGGGCAGAGAAGAGATTCAGAGCAGCCCTGTGGAGAAGGACTTGGGGGTGTTGGTTGATGAGAAAATGAACATGAGCCGGCTTCAGTGTGCGCTTGCAGCCCAGAAAGCCAACCGTATCCTGGGCTGCATCAAAAGGAGTGTGACCAGCAGGTCAAAGGAGGTGATCCTCCCCCTCTACTCTACTCTGCTCTTGTGAGACCTCACCTGGAGTATTGTGTGCAGTTCTGGTGTCCTCAACATAAAAAGGATATGGAACTGTTGGAACAAGTCCAGAGAAGGGCCACGAGGATGATCAGGGGACTGGAGCACCTCCTGTATGAAGACAGG